TCTACTCCCCACTTTATGTAAGAGAACACTCAGGATCCACACTTGATGACAAGTTCCCATACAAAGGTCTCTCTCCAACTCCAGCTTCACTTCCACCCACTGCCTCTGGGTTCTAGACATCCTGGCTTTCCTTGGAATACCCAACACAGAGCCATGTTGTCACTTGCCTCAAAATAACACTTCAATCCCTCCAGCTTCTACCTTCTATGCACTCTTCAACTTCAGCTTATATGATGTTATTTCTAAGAAGTCTTTCCCAATTATCTTTCTCCTGTCAGTTTAGCTTATCACCCTGTACACCTACATTCTCCTTGAGAATACTTACCATGCTGAAGTTTCTGTTCAATGTCAGGCTTGCCTAGGAAAGAAGGTCATGATGGGGAAGGGTGGTGATGATTAAAAAAAAAAAAATCTTGTTTTCTTAAAATATGGAACTAGAATTCCTCTGGAGTGGAAGAATCTGTTCAGAGAAACAACATGGTTGTTATTATTTGAAAGGAAGAGGAGAGCCCGAAAGCTGATACAGCTGGAACCTGGGCAATGGGGCAATCAGAGAGAGAGGAGCTACTCTGTCTTAGAGATGGATGAGTTGGCTATGCAGCAATGCAAAATCCTAATGTTGCAATTAATGTATAAAATCCAGCAATACCTTAACTGGTAGGCAAAAAAGGATCAATATCAGGAAATGCTTTTGTATAATTGAATGTATTATAAAGCTATGGAGCCACATAATCTGATAATCCCCTTAGCTACTGAAAGGTAAGTTTTTAAAATTCAACATCTCATAAACAACTACATTTTTAGCATGGTAAAAATTTCCATCTGAACCTCAAAGCATCTTGTTCAATGAGAAACCCTGAAATATACTCATAAAAGTTAGGAACAGGATAAGGAAGCCTCTTGTCATTGTGATTATTTGACATTCTTCTAGATACTAGCCATGATAAAAGTGAACAAAATTGGGGGCCTGGATGGCTCAGTCGGTTAGGCATCTGCCTTTGGCTCAGGTCATAATCTGAGGGTCCCAGGACCAAGTCCTGCATCAGGCTCCATGTTCCACAGGGAGTCTGCTTCTCACTCTCCTGCTGCCCCCCCGCTTCGTGCTCTCTCTCTCTCTCAAAAAATAAATAAAATCTTTTTTTTTAAGTGAACAAAATTGAAAGTTTAAAGGAAAAAAAGCCAAGAAGAGGAAAAATGATCATTTGGTGCCCCATAAAGAACTTCCACAAATCAATATCAAAATGATTAACAACACAATTTAAACACAGGCAATAAATATATAAGTCAGATGTCAATAAAGAAAAAGATAGTTCCTATACATATGAAAAATACTCAGCCACATTCATATTGAATAATGCATATGAAAAATGAAGATACCATTTTTCACTGATTAGATTGGCAGATAAAATCATAAGCAAAGCTATGGGGAAACTAATAAATGCTGATTTATGTAACTTGACTAACATTTTATTGTGGGCAATCTAGTAACATTGATCAAAATTACAAATACGTGTACTAATTACCTGGCAATGCTACTTCCAGGAATCTATTCAGGTGACCCAACTTTCTCTTGCTGTACAACAAGCCACTCCAAAACTTAGTGGCATACAACAGCAATTTTATTATGCTCATGATTTCAAGTGCTAGGAATTCAGGCAGAGATGGATGGTAGGACTTGTCTCTCCTCCATGCAAACTGGGGCTTCAGGTGGGGAGGCTGAAATGGCTGCAGGTAGCTGGGGCTCAGCTAGACGAGAGCCAGATGGCTCTGGGTTCCTGATTATCAACCATGTTCCTAGATTGTTCTCCACGTAGTGCCTGCTGGGGCTGGAACATCCAAGATGGCTTCTCTACTCCTTCACCAAGGGGACAGTCCTCTTTTCCTGATTGTTCTGATTCCCTAGGTCCTCACAGTGAGGGAAAGTCAGGAATTTAAGGGGATTATTGGTCAGCTTTCATCCCTGAGAGAGTAGGAAGGTTGAAGAGCAATCATGGTTGCTGTTCAGAGGGGTAGGGATGGTGTGGGGATGACCTGGTGAAGGAGAGAGCAGAGTGACTCACCCCTGAGGCTCTTCCGTGTCCCATTCCAAGGAACTGGGAACGATCCTCACGTCATGGAACCTGATGCTACAGAAGGGGATGATTGTGATTAATCTTCTGAGGTCATAAACAAAGCAATGGAATAAAGTTCAAAATGGACATCTCGGGGATCCCTGGGTGGCTCAGCGATTTGGCGCCTGCCTTTGGCCCAGGACATGATCCTGGAGTCCCAGGATCGAGTCCCACATCGGGCTCCCTGCACGGAGCCTGCTTCTCCCTCTGCCGGTGTCTCTGCCTCTCTCTCTCTATCTGTGTCTCTCATGAATAAATAAATAAAATCTTTTAAAAAATGGATATCTCTTTGCACTCCCTCATTTGCCAGTATACACTCCTTGGTAACGTGACATTGCTGGTAATCGCATCATTTAGTGGAATGCTTCTGTTGATATCTTTGGTATGATTTGAAATTTATTTAAACTTTCTTTTAGAGATTTATTTATTCATTCATGAGAGACACAGAGAGAGAGAGGCAGAGACATAGGCAGAGGGAGAAGCAGGCTCCCTGCAGGGAGCCTGACATGGGACTCGATCCCAGATCCCAGGATCACAACCTGAGCCGAAGACAGATGCTAAACCACTGAGCCATCCAGGGGTCCCTAAACATTTTTAATTTAAAAGTTTAGTCATTAATTTTTATGATTATACTATGAGATTGGCCCTTTTTACAACAATGGGCATCAATTCAAACCAAGTCCTTGGCAGCAAGTCCTGTGCTTTATTAAACTAAAAGTTCTTCACACTTTTCAATGGACAAGTCACTAAATCTAACCTATTTAAAAAGACTTAATTTGTTTTTTTTGTTTGTTTGTCAAAGTTTATTTGTTCTGTTGTGTCTTTCCTTGGTATCACCTCCATGAAACTTTGGAAGTGAGCAACAAACCTCAGGAGTGGATTGTTCTACACACCCACCCCCTCCCTTTGCTAGTTCATCTCACACACTCTGACTGCACTTCGTATGTGTGTGGTGAGGATGCTTCAGATCTTCTGTCTCGACAACTTTCAAGCATACAATCTAGAATTACAACTATAGTCACTATGCTGTACATTAGATCCCCAGAACTTAGTCATCTAATAATTTAAGGCTTTTACCTTTTAACCAGCATGTCCCCATCTCCCCAAATCCCCAGCCCCTGCTAATCACCATTATACTCCCTATTTCTATGAGTTCCACTTCTTTTTAGATTCCACATATAAGTGAGATTAAATTATACAGTATTCGTCTTTCTCTGATTTATTTTACTTAGCTTAATACCCTAAGGTTTATCCATGTGGTTGCAAATGGCCGGATTTCCTTCTTTCTCATGTCTAAATAATACTCCATTGTATACATCTATCACATCTTCTTTACCTATTCATCTGTTGACAAACATAGATTGTTTCCATAACTTGGTTATTGTCAATAATGCTGCAATGAACATGGGAGTGCAGGTATCTCCTCAAGATACTAATTTTGTTTTCTTTGGATATATACCAAGGAAAGGGATTGCTGGATCCTATAGGAGTTCTATTTTTAATTTTTTGAGGAACTTCCATCTTTCATAATGGCCACACCAGTTTGCTTCCCTACCAGCAGTGTACAAGGGTTTCCTTTTTTTCTACATCCTCACAACACTTGTTATTGCTTGTCTTTTTGGCCATAGTCATTCTGATAGGTGTCAGGACAGCTCGTTGACATTGATTTGCATTTCCCTAATAATTAGTGATGCTGAGCACCTTTTTATGTACCTATTGGCTATTTGTATGTCTTCTTTGGAAAAAATATCTATTCCGGTCCTTTGTCCCATTTTTAAATTGGGTTATTTGTCAGGATACTTACATCAGCCAAGAGCTTTCTTTTATTAAAGCCCAAAATATTTTTTTTGTATTCAGAAAAGCAATGTCTTAAGTCTTTACTATTTAAAAAATTGTATATATAGGTGATGTACTGAATTTTATCTATGATTTAGAAAATTGATAGGCTTTGGATTTGATGCATATTGCATTATATTTGTTTTACATATAAAAGACTAGGAAATAGGTCCCTGTTAGGGTTCTGACACAGAATGTTTTATTTTTAGGAATAGATTACGGTGATGAAGCCAAAGTTGCCCATGTTGTCTTGTTCTTTAAGTATGTTTAAGGAACTGCCAGTGAAGGACCTGAAGGACAATGTAAACTCCCTATTCTCTCTCCCCCCTGCCTTGATGACTGTCACACAAATAAGGAGAAAGAGCATTTGAACGATTTCGACTTTTAACTCGATGTGTTTTACTTCCTGAATATGGACACTCCCGATTATTACTGTAGACACTCTGAGATCATTGCTCCCCGGAGGTGTGGTCCCCGAAATCACAGGGCTGGGTAGGAAAGACAAGCAGAGGAGCCATGGAAGCTATGAGTGAGTTATTTCAAAATCCTTTCAGGGTTAATGACTGTTAACTCCCTGTCTGACCCAAGAAATGGGCTTCTCACAGGTTCCCCTTTCCACACCCTTTCCCCTCTGCCCAGCGCCCCATTAGAGGGCTCCCCTAAACCCCCAGAACCATGCTCTTGTCCTCCCCCGATGATACTTGCCTTTAGGACAGTCACTGCCACCAGTGAGTAAGACGCTTAACTCCTGGGAAGGCTGTACATTTAGACAAACTTGTGAACCTGAGGACACAGTCTGGGGCAGGAAGGGATCAAATCTATCAGCTGCCGGGACCTGCCTGCCTTTCTTTCCTGTCCAGCTGAAGTCGTTCGAACACTTTTTTTCATTCCTGGCAAGAAAATGTGGTCTACACGATAGCCAGTAACTACTGATTAAATTGTCCCATGTTAATACAGGCATACGGTAGGGCTTTGTCGCAGCGGGGAAGCTCTGCAGATACCGAGCGGAAGAAAAAAGCCGGCGCTTTTGCTTTCTTTTCTCTTTCTTTCTCTGAGCTGACAGTTCACAGGTTTGAACTGGGAGTCATCTGTTTCTTTTGACAATAACTCAGGTAAGCCCACATTCATGAAAAGTTCCAGTGTTGATTTCGAGTTCCCAGGCTATGCTTGAAGAAAAGTTGTTGTGTGTGTTTTTTTTTTTAAGAACAAAACTTCCCTATTTTTTAAAAAATATTTTATCTATTTATTTATTTGAGAGAGAGAGAGAGAGAGAGAAAGCCCAAGTAGGGGGAGCGGCCGAGGGAGAGGGAGAGGGAGAAGCAGGGTCCCCTCTGAGCAGGGAGTCCTGCTCTATCCCAGGATCCTGGAGATCATGACCTGAGCCGAAGGCAGCTGCTTAACCGACTGAGCCACTCAGGATAAAAGTTTCCTATTTTAAGGGAAACAATTTAGAGTGGCTGCCCTTGGCTGAAGTACAGCCAGCTTGCAGGAACTGTAAACTTTGTATAGTTGAGTTTATGTGTTACTGGCAAACAGAGCTCCCTTAGCATGAAGCCAATAAAGAGTGCTAACTGGGAAGAATTTGGGAATTCACATGTGCTGGTGAGTCTTCTGTGCCTTTGGTATACGCTGCCAGACCTAAGCAAAGAGGAAAACCATCTGATGAAAATGAACCGATGCTTCTCACTGCACAGGAAAAGGGAATGGGTCCCAGGGCTTCTTCAAGCTGGCTGTTGAGTAAATTGGTGGATTGAATGAAATGTATTTCAGGCTTCAAGGATAGTGTACTCAATTCAGCGAGGAGGCTCTCTGGAGCAAGAATTCCAAATGGGGGGGGGAGTTTGGGGAGAGGGGAGAGGATGGAAAGGGAGGGAGCAAGGTGAGGAAAGGAGGAGAGAAGGGAAGAGAAGATTGAACCTATAAAGGAAGAGGAGAGAAGGAATGGGTGAGGCCAAGGAGAACAAGAAAGAGGCTGGGAGGCCACAGGAGGAGGAAGGGGTGGGCAAGGAACCAGGAGTAGGTGGGGCTTACAAACAAAACCTACTTCTTCCAACTCACTAACTCACTGGGTGACTCTGGGCAAGTGACTATGTCCCCCATCAACTATGTGTAAACAAACTGAGGCAGGGCTGTGACAGTGCTCTAGGAATACAAGGGTCTTTCATGATTCAGAACTAAAAAAATTGTACATATATATTCCTTGAAATTACAGAGCTGGATAGGAAAGAAAGCAGGGGGGCCATGGAAGCCATGAGTGAGTTATTTCAAAATGCTTTAAGGGTCCATTATTGTTAATTCCCAGTCTGGCTCAGGAATGTCTATATTACATACATAATCGGTCTCTGGTCTCTCTGTCTCTCAGGAACAGCAATGGACCAACACGAATGTGATCACTCCGGTAAGGACATGACTTCTTATGTGTGATTACATTATCATATTTTGTGCCTATTTCATATAAAAATTATGCTTCCTGGGGCACCTGGGTGGCTCAGTGGTTAAGCGTCTGCCTTCGGCTCAGCTCATGATCCCAGGACCCTGGGATCCAGTCCTGAATTTGGCTCCCCATAGGGAGCCTGCTTCTCCCTCTGCCTGTGTCTCTGCCTGTGTCTCTGCCTCTCTCTGTGTCTCTCATGAATAAATAAATAAAATCTAAAAAAAGGAAAAATCATGCTACCCTCTCTAAGCAAAATATAAGCTATCATGTTTCTTCATTAGAGAGAATAATTTTACTCTGCTTATTCCAGTATTTCCCCAGTCCAGCCATTTCATGGGTAGTCAAGAACACATCCCCACCCAGCAAGGTCAGAGGAGAGCCATCTGTGGTCTTGGAACAGTCAAATTGCTTGGCCCACCTGGAGATGGAACCCACAGTCTTGGCTACACATCTCTGATATTCAGAAAATTTGTCTTAGATAGCTAGAACTGAGTGATTCAGGCAAGCCTCACATAACAAGATATGTTTTTAAATCCATATTGTGCCCCAAGTATGTTTTTTTTAGGATCCAACATGGCTGCATCCTGTAGTCTTAGAGAAACTGAGATTTTTTTAAAGCATTTATTTATTTATTTATGAAAGAGAGCTTATCTGTGCAAGCAAGCAGGATGAGAGACCAGGGGACAGAAAGAGAGAATCCTTGAGCAGACTCCCCACTGAGCACAGAGCCCTACCTGGTGCTCAGTTCCAGGACCCTGAGATCATGACCTGAGCCAAAATCAACAGCCAGCTGCTCAACCTGGCTCAACTGAGCCACCCAAATGCCCCAAGAAATTGAGATGTTTTAAAAAATCACTGTTTATTTGTTTTGGTAATGGAGCTAGTTCGCTTCTATTTTATGAATACAATGTATTGGGAAACTATCTTTGCCCATAATGTGGGAATATCTCCTATTGTTAAAAATATTACATTGATATAACCAGTATAGTCATAACACAGGAAATTTGCTCTTACAGGACTGTATATAAAGAACCAAGGTTCCAGAGAATCAAAACTGAGAATCATTCTGGTGGGCAAAACAGGAACTGGCAAAAGTGCCACAGGGAACAGCATCCTCAGGAAGCAAGCATTTGAGTCACGGCTGGCTGCACAGCCCTTCACTAAGACTTGCAGTGAAAGCCAGGGAAGCTGGGGAGAGAGAGAGATGGTCATTATTGATACACCAGATATGTTTTCTGAGAAGGACAACTCTGATTCCCTGTACAAAGAGGTGCAGAGATGCTACTTACTCTCTGCACCAGGACCACATGTGTTGCTCCTGGTGACCCAGCTGGGCCGATTCACCACCCAGGACCAGCAGGTTGTGCAAAGGATGAAGGAGATCTTTGGAGAAGATGTCATGAGACACACAATTGTCCTCTTCACCCACAAGGAAGACCTCAAAGGAGAATCCTTGACAGATTACATCCACGACATGGATAACAAAGCCTTGTGCAAGCTGGTGGCAGCATGCGGGGGTCGAGTGTGTGCTTTTGACAACCATGCTACAGGGAGTGATCGGGATGACCAAGTGAAGGAGCTAATGGCCTTGATGGAAGACCTCGTATTGGAAAGAAGGGGTGAGCACTACACCAATGGGCTCTACGGCCTAGTAACAGAATGTGGATCTGTGTGGTCAAGGGAAAGGTTAAAGGCTTTCAGAAGAGATCTTATGAAGTACATGGAAAATCAGAGATGTTACTCCACCACAGCCAAAGAAAATTATCTGAAACAAGCCCTAATCAGAACCCTAGTCTTTATTTTAGGTTTTATTCATTTGTTTGTCAAATTGCTAATTCTGTTATTTTGTGTATTGTATAGAATGTGCATCTTGTTTTGCTGCTTTCTTTTTAGTGTATGCTGTTTGTTCTGTAGCCTACTATTAACGATAGCCAAAACATTAATGATAAGTTTGAAAAAGATCACTAGACTGGAAGGCAAGACTCGTAGATTATAGTTACAGGTCAGCGATTGTTTATTCATGGCCAGATACTGGGTGAATCCAACTGCCTCCCCTGTAAGACACAGTGCCTAACATCATTAAATGTTTGTAATTCTGTTGTATTTAAATCTTAACATCACTCTATTGATGAACCAAGTTCTTTTAAAAGATACTGTCTGTTTTGGAATACAGTATGAAAACCTTTTGAAGGCTATAAACACAAGATTCCTCTCATTTGCAAATCTCTAAAGCCAGTTTTATGTTCCTGGAAACTTGTTTTCTTCTTTATGATACTCCTATTTCTACTGAATATAATAAAAATAACAATAACATTTCTCCTCCGTAAAATAACCTAGCAATAATCTGTAAAGTTGCTGAGATCACATCTTTGATTCTGTCATAGTTTTATCCTCGGAAGATGGTGACTGAACACATGGCACATTTACTCTAAAATGGAGCGGATCCACGAACAGCAACCACACACAGACACATTCACACATCAGTCGTCTGTTTTACATGCATCAAATTTGCTTAACATTGAAATGGGCTCAGCCAGATTTTATCTCTGGTCATGTTAGTATTAAAACACACATAGAAGCTTACACTTCAGACATGGTGATCGACAGGGTATTCTGCAGCATTGTCAGGGTCCTGGGATCGAGTCCTGCATCGGGCTCCCCACAGGGAGCCTGCTTCTCTCTCTGTCTATGTCTCTGCCTCTCTCTGTGTTTCTCAAGAATAAATAAATAAAATCTTAAAAAAAGAAAAAAGAAAGAAAGAAAAGGAAGATCAGGAAAACTCCAAGGGTGAAGCAAACAATACACATAAAAATAATGTAGAGCTAAAACGAGTTGAGAGCCATTAGGAAGATGCAAACATAGAAGGCAGAGGTGGCCAATGGACAAATGCCCGCATCAATTCTGAGTCAAGAAAGTCAGCTTTGGGTGGTCAGTGAGGTAAAAGAGCTGATTCTATGGCTTCTGTATTACGTCAGGACCTCCTTGGAGAACTCATATTACAAACTCATTTTTTAACCAAATATATAATAAGGCCTAGCAGTCTTTCCAAGTTGTTTTTTTTTTAATCTAGCATCATTTTGCTTTGGCTTGAAGAATTTCTTTAACATTTCCATTATGCGAGCCCTAGTGGGATAAGTTCTCTCTGGTTTTCATTGTCTTCAGTTTTTTTTAAATTTTTATTTATTTATGATAGTCACACACAGAGAGAGAGAGAGAGGCAGAGACATAGGCAGAGGGAGAAGCAGGCTCCATGCACCGGGAGCCCGACGTGGGATTCGATCCCGGGTCTCCAGGATCGCGCCCTGGGCCAAAGGCAGGCGCTAAACTGCCGCGCCACCCAGGGATCCCCAATTTTTTAAAACAATTTTCATTCTCGATGGATAGTTTTACTGAATAATGAATTCTAGTCTGATCTTCTATTTTTCTTCAGCATCTTAAACATATTCCAATATTTTCTGGCTTATATGGCTTCTGATAAGAAAGTAGATGTCATTCTTATTGGTTCCCTATATATACTGTCTTTTCCTCTCCTGTGGTTGACTTAAACTTTTTCATTTTCTTTGGTTTTCAGTAGTTTGACCATAAAGTGTCTGAGTTTGTTTCTCTTCCTATTTTCTACTTAAGGTTGATTAAGATTGTTGGATTTCAAAGTTAAAGTTTTTCATCAAATTTTTAAAATTTTGGTCATTATGTTGTTGTTTTTTTAATTCCACCAACTTCAGTGTTATTTTCTTCTTGGATTCTAATTGCATTAGACTGCTTGATGCTATTCCACGGATCACTAGTGCCATATTCATTTGTTTTCTTCAATATTTTCTTCACAATATTTTCAATTTCTTGTTTTAGTCTCAATAATTTCTCTTAACCTGTCCTCAAGTTTGTAGATCCCGTCTTCAGTGTCCCATATGCTTGTAGGTACATCCACTTGGGTGGTTATTTTTTTAAATTTCAGATATTTTATTTTCTAGTTCTTTTTAGAGTTTATATTTCTCTCCTGAAATTCTTTAGTTCTTCAGATTTAGTTCTTTCTATTTTTTACTTTTTTAAAAAGATGTTATTTATGCATTTGAGAGAGAGAGAGAGAGAGAGAGGAAACACACACAAACAAGGGGAGCAGCAGGTGGAAGGAAAAGAAGCAGGCTCCCCACCAAGCAGGGAGCCTTATGTGGGACTCAATCCCAGAACCCTGGGATCATGTCCTGAGCTGATAGCAGACACCCAACTGACTGAGCCACCCAGGCGCCCCAGATTTAATTCTTTTTAGAGTTTATATTTCTCTCCTGAAATTCTTAGGCCATTATATTTATTTTTCTATAAATCTTTAATATGTGTATAATTGCTATTTTTTTTATAATTGCTATTTTAAAGTCCTTATCTAAGGGGCACCTGAGTGGCTCAGTTGGTTAAGCACCTTGTTTTGTCTCAAGTCATGATCCCGGGATCCTGGGCTCAAGCCCCACATCGGGCTCTCTACTCAGCAGGGATCCTGCTTCTCCTTCTCTCTCTGCCCTCCCCCTTGCTCATGCTCTCTCTCTCTCTCTCTCTCAAACAAATAAATAAAATCTTAAAAAAAAAAAGTCCTTCACTGATAATTCCAATGAATGAGTCATCTGTGGTTGTTTCTACTAACTGTTTAATCTTTTGATTATAAGTCATATTGCCCTGATTCTTCCTGTCATGTAAATTTGTATTATATTCCAGACAAGTATGTTTACCCTGATTTTGTTTATTTCCTGAAGAGTACAAGTTCACTGATCTGTCTGCTGGTTAGAATGATCACATCACTGGCTCCCAAATTTGAGCTGAAATTAGAATGAGCTGCCACTTTAAATAGATTTAATTCACTTCTGATTCATGCAACCTACAATAATCTCCTATACAACCATTACCAGCTTTTTTATCCAGTCAGCATCGGAATTGGGATAGTGTAAGCCTCTAAATGAAAATGGTTTTACTTCACTAATAGGGCCTATTGGGATCAACTGACTTCTGTTTTCTTGACTACTCTGCTCTGCATTTATTTATTTATTTATTTATTTATTTATTTATTTATTTATTTATTTTTTTTTTTACTCTGCTTTTTTAGGAAAAATGTGTGATGGGAAGGAGAGGAGTTATTAAGATAAGCAATTTGGTTTTCCCCTTGGGATCATACAGATTCCAATATATTTTAATAGTTCACAATGTCAAACGATCATTTAATTCCTCCTCCACTCTGCAAAGTCTACTTTCTCTGGTAAGTCAATACCTCCATTTGTTTCTATCCAAATCAAGTGCCTACTCCAGGTATAGAAGACAGACTCCTCCAGCTCTCTGCTCACCTAGGAAGGACTCTTCTACAAAGAATTCAGTTCCTCACTGCTTCTTGGCATCCACATTCTTCACTAGACAAAGAGAAGTATGTTTTCACTCTAATTCCTTTTGTCAGTATGGAGACCAAAGGCTTCTGCATCTTTCTCCAACCCAACCAGAAGCAAAAAAATCCATCATTTCAACTGACTTTTTTTCTTTTTCAAACTTCCTTCAGTTTGTCTTTAATAACAACACACTGTTTGGCTATCGCCCTACTTCTCAAATATTTACACTGCTTTCTCTTTAATGGTTCCTTAATTGTAAGGGTCTTTGGAGTTCTGTCCTCAGCCCTTTTTCCTTTATGTCCTACACGTTTTCTCTGAATGATTCCCCTCTCCCATTCATTTGTGTCTTAGAGAACGCTGATATTTCTTCAAATATACTTCCACCTAAGTCCTTTCTCCTGCTCCTTTATTAACTGAAACTCATCCTGAGTTCTCACACAAATGTCAGGTCATTGTGATATTTGTGTCTCTCTTAGAACTTTTATATTATGCCTTTGACTTCAGTGACCCTTTGTACATAATATTTGAAGGTGAAATGCACATTTTAGCTTCTGATTTGGCTTACAGACTTCTATCTCCTTTTATGTTATGCTATGAAACCAGGAAACCAACATCCTGTGAAATTGAGTCCTGGATACCACCTACTTAGTTAGTATTTCTAACAACTAAACTTTGATTATCATAACCTCCCTCTCCCCACAAAAAGGAAAGTAGAATCTCCATGACACTGAAAGTGTGCTCCAAAATCCTGGGGCACAGTGGGCCAATGTCTTTCACATAGTATTTTATTGAAGGAGTTATTTCCTTATGTACTCCTTTCCTAAGGGAATATTTGGTTTATTTTATCCTTTTGTAACTCTGGGGGTGCTGATAGTTGAGTTCTAAGCACACGAAGAAAAGATAAGGAGATATCAGGCCTGAAGAATCATCCTGGAAGGTTTGAACTTCTCATTGAAGGTCTGTTCAGGGAGGATGTTTTCCTTACAACTCAGGAATTCAGTACTTTCCATGTCATCTTTATTGACTTTATAAGGACAGAGAAAAAAACAATGAACATGCAAATACTGAAAAAGGAGAGAAAAAGTGGAGGAGGAAGAAGAGGAAGCAGAGGTCCTGGATAGTTCCAAGTCTCAGGATTCTCAGGGCCATAGACCTCAGATGGGTTCCACAACTGATGGCAAGTCAGTGAGTAACAGGGGACCAAGCCCAGACACAGTGATAAATAATCAGAGGCTAACAGGAATGTAGAGGAAAATGGAGACAGAGACAATTGCTTTCGTATAGGAAGGTGACCGCAGAAAGCACCAGTAGGGACATAAGGATATGAGCCAATCCGGCTTGCACTGATGAGTATAAACTGTAGAAACCTGGGTATTGGTCTTGTTGGGGACCCCATAAATTTGTGTAGAATACACTTTAGAGTTACCTTACTTGGGGAGCAGTAGATAATTTAATAAGCAAGGACACTGAAGTATCTAACCACTCACTTCTGACTGTCATTGATAAGGTCTGCCCTGGGAAATACTGGCTCTCCAACAACTTCAACCTGTCCCAGGCACTAGCTAAGCAATTCTTATAGCCAGATAAACCCCCACACAGAGAGTTACAAGTGGCTGAAGTAAGACATTATGTGCACTCATAGAAATAGTAAATGATAAGGAATTATGACAGAAGCACTGAAGGCATCTTCATGAAAAGTACATGTCGAGCTTTAAAGATTTAATCAAGGTCAATCTGCATGGCTTGGAGTAGGATGAGGCTGGTGAGATGTAGACACCTTTTTTTTTCTTTTTCAAGTTTTAATTTAAATTCCAGTTAGCTAACATATGGTGTAATTTAAGCTTAGGTGTAGAATTTCATGATTCATCACTTCCATACAACACCCGTCATAGGTGGCCTCCTTCATCCCCATCATCCATTCAGCCCATCCCC